CCAAGTGTTTCATTGTACCCACCCAGACCTCTCAATTCCCACCTGGAATCTGAAAACTGGGATGATAAACCAAGAGCTTTAGAACAATCACTGCCACACGGCATCAAGAAAACTGAGACTAAACTACGCAAGGCACACGCTGTGCTGCTGTACCGCAATTCCTTGCTCTAAAACAGGGCTGAAGCTGGAATCTGCATTACTCAATCTGCTCAATCACTCTTCTATTTCAACCAAAGTGTCAGCAATAATGTGGAATGACTACTATCAGCAAACCAATTTGCCACAGTAAAATAATTTGAGAAACTAATACAATGAGGAAGAATCTACATAGCTCAAACAGCCGTACAGATTTCAAATCAGCACGATGCCTAACCACGAGTTTATGTTGAAGCCTATGAGCAAGCACATTTAGTTCAGTGAGATTACTCACATTGTTTGAAGGTCAGACTTGCTAAAACGCTTTCCTGAACTGAAGCTTCACTAAACTACGCTGAAAGAACTAGCCAGGAGTACCCAGCTAGCACAAATACGTGCCATCTGAACAGTAGCACGCCATTTCTTGCAGGCTCGCCTGCTTCTGCCAGCGCAAAAGCACAGCATCCCTGCCAGGCTCCTTGGGTCAGGTCAATGCACACAACTGCCAAAAATCAGAATCTACCACGTTCAAATGAAGCTGTCAGCACAAAAACTTACATTTCCACCCGGCAATGAAAATACAGCTGGAGTGGTGGACGGGAACTCGGTGGGGATTGCGAGCACACACGACGCCCCTTACGTTAGAAGGTTCTTTACTGGGGCAGTGTTGAATGAGTTTTTATTTACACCATGTACAAAATGTATTTAGTTTTAATCAAACTCCTTTTTGCTAGACGCACATTCTAGTAGGAAAAGGATGTTAAAAAGTCTTCTGTACCATGAAAACCTAACACTGCAAAAGTAAGATTATTTTATTTTTCCCTGGCAAAAAATATAATGTTAATTCTGAAAGCAAGTCTCAGCACTGAAAATAAATTATTAATTTAATCACATTTTAAGACTTCAGATCACAAAAATATGAATGGAAGACACACAATTAGGATATCTAACTAAGAGCCTCCTTCCCTAGAGATTCAAGACAAAAATTATTTTACTAGAACCAATGGCTTATTTATGTTACAGCAGCAGTATTTGGACAAGGCAAGCGTTATCATTATTACAACTACTTTTCCACAGTGCCCTTTAGGCTTGATAGCTCCCTACTATTGTTAAGGTCAGAGGACAAGTTCATAAAACCTCTAAATCATACATAACAAGACTTAAAAACCTAAGATATATCATTTTTTTTCCCCTAGGCCTATGCAGAAGAATCAAAGCACAGACAATGACCATCAGAAATAATGACCGCATTAAACAAGGCTTCATGAGAAATTTATGAAGCTAAATTTTTCTTTTTTTCTTTTTTCTTTTTTTTTGTGGCAGCATACAAAGAGCCCAAAGACCCTTTTTTCCAGGAAACAAAAACAAACCCCAAAGGTCAACAGACTTATTTTAAGACCTGACTCTAAGATCTTAAGTAAAATATGTTCTTTTTCCATTCTCTTTTTTTAATTTTATTTTAATTTTGCAAGAAAAGGACTATAATGTTCTATGAACAATCCCCTTTCAATGTAACATTACTTGGCTAGGTACTTCCAACTTGAATTCTCTAGGAACAACCACAGCTCAAAAAGCATGCCGGGGGTTTTGTGTGGTTTGTTTGTTTTCAAGTAAACATTTTCTTTTCCTCACAGGCAAGAAAAGAAAGTAACTTGACTACTGATTTGTCATTAATACGTTACTATCTTACCCACAATAAGCAGCACAAAGATAGGGGAAAACAAGAAAAAAGAAATTGTTTTTTCTTTTTTTAAATTCAATGAATTGTTTTCCAAAACAAGTACAGAATAATGAAGTGTATGGGAGTCCTGCACAAACACTGATTCCAGGAGCAGACACCGAAAAATGAAATGATTGATAGAGCCATGGCTTTTTTGTTTGGTTATCTTCTCCGTCATAAAGACAGTACAAAACACCAATTTAAAGTTTGTCTGATAATGGTATGGATTTTTTAACAAATGATTTTGTCTGACGCACCGTACTGTATATTACTAGTAAAATAATACATATACCTCACAAAACAGCATCATGCTTCATTACATTTTAGTTTTGAAATTTATGTAAAATTATAAGCTTTTATACTTAATATCCAACTTCACTCGTCATCTTTTTCAAACTGGAATTCAACAATTCAACGTATTTTTAGGCAATCACATTTTCCTGCCATGTTATATATTAATAAATATAATCAGGCTACATACGCATTTCAATTGATCAGCATAAATCAATGTCAATTATGAACAAGTGTTAGAGAGACAAAATGTGACACTTCGCACTTGATCTCGTCAAAGTGTCACATAAATATGTTCTAAGGACAATATATATTTTGGCTTAATTTCAGTCCCAAATAGGACTTTATCACAGCTGGGTGTATCTGTACAAGTTTTTGACCTAGCAAAAACCTCATCTATTTTTCATTTCCAAAAGCATAAAATACATTTCCCTGAGACTTTTGTGAAAACGAATGCACGTTCTGTTTCTGTGCAAACCGTATTACCTGCCCTTCCGCGACCGTTTCTGTATCAATGATAGTGATGATTCCAGGCACCAGAGGACTTCGACGAATGTTGCTATGAGCTAAAATTTCTTCTTCAGTTGCTCCTGAAGGCAGCGTCCCTGTCAGCTGCGTAACTACTTTCCCAACCATTGTAAGTCCAGTCTTTATCGTCTATAAAAAGAAAGAGAACCAATAAATAATGTTTTGCAGATCTATCCCAAATTTTGTCTCGACACAATTAATATAACTAGATTGTGCACACCAGAAGAACACAAATGTTTTTAGAAGTGATATATAAGCTGCAAAAGGCTGTACATAACAAATATCTTGGAAAAAAAATTCAGCATCCTATCAATTTATTCACCTTTATTTTGGAATTAAATGCTTCCAAAACAGTCTTGGTAAAAAAAATATTTTAATGTTGTCTAAATGTCAGAGTTTTCTCTTTAACTGTGTTATTTACTTATTCCAAGAGGGACAGAGCACGGATAGTTAGAAGAATCAAATGCTGAAGCCAAGATGGGTGCGTGTGGAGGGCAGCGTTACACAGAGAAATACTTAGACCCCCTGATGGTTACTGCTGATATACTTCTGTCTTCTGCACAAGGGCAAGAGACAAAGAATTCGGCCTTTGAGAGATACGACAGACGCATTCATTCGTTTCTCAGGGGTTGTGCCTTTCGCAGCATTTAAACTGAATACGGGACTCAAACCCAGCAAAATTCAAAAGCCATCCTCAAGGTACTAGAGGGGATAACTCTGTAGAAAGTACACACACATCCCATTAAAAGTTATGTGACTTTCCAGTCTGCGTGTTTTCCAGACGTGGCTTTGAAAACATATTCATCACACCGGCTTTTATTATCGAAAGATGCTGAAGATTGTTTTCATGTTACTTTATTTGGAGAAAGTGGGAGAGTACACACAGTAGGAGAGACAGAGGTTTTAAAAACCAAAACAATGCAAACTACAACTTTAAATGCTTTCTCCTTGAATCAAGGACTGTGCCTTATTTGCCTATAAAGAACTGAGCAGATTTATTATGCAATATAAATAAGAAATAGCAGAAGAGATCAGAATGGAATGACACTATAACAAGCCAATTCTTAACTAAAAAGACAAGCTAAGCTGCCTGCTAAATTGAAAAGGAAAAAACCCGTACAGATCACAGGCTGAAACCAAGAAGCAGCCACAAATCAATTGCAACTGCTTTGTTTAGTGCTAAAATCTCAAACTGCAGTGATTAGAAAACACATTAGTGTTCATCAATTAGCAGCCAAACGTTTGTTTTAATAATTCATAGGAAATGACTTACACAAAGTCTGTTAGTGTGTTGTCAGGAAAACCTCTGAAGGGCCAACAGAATTAGGCGCCACACTGTATCGATGGCAATATCCAGCCAGGAAGCCTGATTAACCTCTGAGATGCCTCAGCTGATGTACTTACCCCATTAATGCTAATGGAGATACTACCACTTAAAATCGAGCCATGCCTTTATCATAGGAATGTCTTTGGGGTTTCATGTCTTTAGTAATATCCTGCCATTTGTTTCTTATTATTTCTTTTTATACTCAGATACAACAAATGAGAATAAACCAAATTCGAACAGTGGCAAACTCAGAAGACTGAGAAAACGTAACATAACGCAGATGATAGCTGAGGAACAGACCTAAAATAGGCCCAACGCCAACCATCACCAGAATGCATTTCAACACTTTCCTGACAAAAACTGACAAGGCAGTTTTCTGGCTAATAGTAAATTGTATAAAATGCACTGGTAGGTTATACAGCAGGAAGGAGAAATTGGTATAGAAGTACTACATGGCAAAATACCTATGCAAGTTCAAAGACCAAGAATTGTAATTGACCTATTTTAGAAAAGATCTTTAAAAACCTAGAAAAACTGGACGACAGAGTGCCAAGTATAAATTTATAGCTCTCTAGAAAAAAATTAACATGCTTATCTAGCAAAATGAATTACCGCTACATGTTAGAGTGGACTGCAACTGCAGGACTACTGAGAAGTAATAGGTGTACAAAGATGTGGCCGAGGCCATTAGCTCAGAAATATCAGTGCAAAACCATTACGGCACTTACTTCTTTGTGCTATGTGTATATTTGCAAAAATTTCTCTGGTAATCTTTAACCTTTCCCATGCCATATCAGCTGTCCCCTCCATCCATTAGAGCTAATGACCTTGCTCTCACATAAGCTGTTAGTACTCATTAAGAAGTTATCAGGTAACAAGAGAAAACAGATGCAGCCCTTGCTAAATCACTTTACCACTATAGGATTAAAAGATATGGAGAAAGAATCAACTAAAGAAGTTATGAGGTGAGAAGAACTTGGTTTATAATTTGATGCTAGACATTCGACAGACCAAATACATTTTAAATGAAATAGGTTAAAGTTTGCACTGTCCCAGTTCCTTTGTCATTGATGGGAACTGCCAGTGCATACTCAGTGACATTTTCTTATAAATAAAATTAAAATCCTTGATCCAATTCCCTCTGTAAGCAATGATACACATTGTGCAAACACACAAATTATTTGTATGCCCACTTGTACCCGATCTACTTAAAAATAAGACTGTTCGCATTCATTCAAATATAAAGAAACACATATATTTAATTAAAATAAATGTATGCACTCATACCTCACTAAATTGAAAAATAAGTACAACTTTAATTAGATGAGAAAATTAAAATGCATCATTCATTGCCTGTTAGGCTGTTTTGTTCCAACAAAGGTCTTACATCTTTTTAATGACAAAACAATAGATTGTTCCTGTTTCTCATAATAAATACATTTTTACATGATTTATTTGTTTACAAATGAAAAAAAAAATCTATAGAAAGCAGAAAAAGATATCAAAAAGATACGCCTTGGTAATCAACAACGTGAAAGCCTCACGGTGAGTTTGAACACAGTGAACATACAATCAATTATAGATTCAAGCTCAAACTAAATGTTTGGTGAAATGCTCACGTTTCCCAAAGATGTTTCCCTTTCCTGCCGCGTATTCTGAAAAGAGGTAGGCCAGGAAAGAAAACCTCTTGGGAAATTCACCTGAAACAGTTTGACATCTAGGAATAGAGTCTGACGGAGAAGGTCTGCAGGAGCTCCGCTCGAACAGAGAGCAAGCTGAAGCATCACTCACCCAGGGACACGATGGGACCAAACCTCTCTTCAACAAGACATACCAAAAACCCAAGCACGAGACATAAGAATGTCTTTTCCTACGTCCTCTTCCTTACTGCATCCAAAATTGATAAATGTGGATAATCGTAACAAGCAATTTCACATTTGGATGCTTATCAAACCAAGTACCTGAATGTTGTCCCATCACTAACACTCTTAAATAATAACAGACTTTATTCTGAAAAATATTCCACATCCATTCTACTGTGTTTGCTCAACCGGAGTGAAAAGAATCTTTATCCCATAAGGAACAACATTTTCATTTTTCTAAACATATCAATTTTTATATTTGCTAAACATTAACCTAATTTGAAATCTTGACACATTTTCCATTTCCCGAAATTTTCTGCTTGGCCAAATTACAGAAATTATCAGAGCTTTTTAGAACATGAACAGACAGAAACCCACCAAACAAATGTGGGGAAATGAAAATAAGAGATCGAGCTGGAAAAAATACATGTGTTTTTCCAGCAAAGGCAGAAAGCAATGTACTTGCAAGATCTAAGGAGAAACAGGAAAGAGTTCCATGTTCAAAATAAAATTCCTTCTAGGAATTATAAAATCAAATGGGAAGATGACGTAAAGGAATTCTTCATAACGTTACCAGAATAACAAGAGATTTGGTACCAGTAAACAACACACTCCAACATGACCACAATTTTCACCTTGGTATTCTCGGTTAATGGGGGAACTTCTGACTCCTAAGTTATTTGATTAAGGAGGAAATTTATTTGCTGCATCAAGTATAGCACACAGCAGTACATCGCACAGACCCACTGCTCACTACCAGATCATTCAAAAACATTTCTCATCAAAGGGAATACCATTAAATATTCTGTACTGCCACTGAGACCTTCTACAGAGGATCTGAAAGGCAATTCTCAAAAGTGACCCTGTTGAAATTACTCTTTTCTGTCACAGCTTTATCTTTCTACTTTATATGAAGGTTCTTTCACTTCCTTCAATAAGAACCTGGAACCCAAACCAAGAAGAGGCTGTAACCCAAGATAATCTCTCAGAACAAGAACTTTCATGGAACCACTTCTGAACCAAAAAGCAGCAGTGGAGGGAACAGAAAAGGACATCCACTTTCAAAACCGCTAACACCTCTGCTGATCAAAGCAAATGAATTACAAACCATTGCAGGCTGATAAGACAGAACAGCAGTAGAGGTTTATAAATGAAGACTTACTTAAGCAGGGAGTCAAGTTTGCGATGAGGTAATGAGATGGACAAAGAGCAAGAGATATTTAGAGTATATATTTCCCAACGAGAAAGTCAGCATTTCAGTTATCAGAGATGAAAACTTGCTAGATAGTAAGCCAAGATTCAATGAAATCAGTAATAAATTAAACATTTCAGATTTTGTACACTCGGACATGAATAACAAACTGATACAGCAAGGCTGAGATACACTCAAGAGCCAAATTGTGCAAATACTTAAAACTATATTAGTATTAATCTTGTCTATTACAGTAGGATCTAACAGCCAGTCGAGAACAAAAGCAATGTGCTAGGCAAAATACAAAGTAGTACAGAGATTGTGCCCTTATGATTATCCGTTTTCCTAACTTTCACTATTACTTTGTCTCTGTGCAGAGGCTAACAATCTTTTCTTTCCTATGATTATACATACATTTTGTCTTCGGTATCTATTCACATGTGGCAACACCACTACTTCAGTGTTTGCTTAATGTGAGAATTGCTGGATGATGATCCTTTGCTGGTACTACGCAGGAGGTAAGGTCATCATCTTGGTCCTTACTGGCTTTAAAACCTAGTTATCCATGGTCTTTGGAGGTAAGGGCTATAAAACATGTCCTTTTTTAGATTATTTTTTTTAGTCTGTTGAAAAAAATTAGACAGAATAGTGCTTAGTCTTCGATGCCTAGTGGAATGCTTTGACAATCATTGTATGGTTTAAGCAAGCTTTGGCCTGTTGTTCTTCAGTCATGAGTAGGCTTGGCTTTGGCAGTACAGCGATCCGTTTCTAAGATTTTACCACATCTGATTGTAACTGTGGCTGATCATGCTAAGCCAGTTGATTTTTCCAACTTGTGTGCGCTATAAAAAACACGTTTATGATGCTGAGATTGAGGAATTTGGGGAGATTTCCCCCCCCCCTTTTTTTTTTTTTTTTTTGCTGATGGTGAAAGTATGCAAAGATACAGCACATTTCAGACGTCTTCAGAAGACCAGCAATTCAAGTTCTCCTCAACAATGTAAAAAAACTGTGATTTTTCTCCTCCTCCAGCCACAGTGAGATTGTGTCCAAAGCTATGCTGATGGAATATGTTTGGGTTTGTTTTGTTTTTACATGAGATGGCATGCCCTATGTCTCCCTTTGTGGGTTCTTGTAACTGTTGTTTTCTTCAGTGACGCTGAGCTTTCTGCTCTGTGCTGTCATTTAATTCCTATTATTAGATTTGTTTTGTTGTGCATATCAGAAATGAAAAGGCTAGTGGTTACAACAAAAGCTTGTAATCAGCACGAAGTTTGCCAGACAATGCCAAAACTCACTTTGTGTGCATGTGTGTGTGCGCGTGTGAGAAAAAGAAATTACTTGGCAAGATGTTGCAGGCAAGTCCTCAAGGAAAGGAGCGGGGTGGGGGGGACGACAGTAAAACAATAGTTCTGCATACTCTTTGGCTTGTTTCAGATTTTTCCAAGCCATGGTCGTCTTCTGATATTATGAGAACCCAGACATTTCTCTGAAAACAGGAGGATATTATAATGTCATCTGAACTAAGAAAACTAGGCAATGGAACCTATATGTAAACAGTCATTAATGAACTCTAACCTTCAAAGAAAGCTGGCAGCTAATTAATTAGCTCCAGTACTGTGCTGTCATCCTTCAGAGAGAGTAAAACATATAACACTAGTGTGATAGAGTCCAAAAAGCACCAAGCACTTGTAAAGTCAGTTTTCATGATGCTAAAAGACTAATAATTCACAACGTTGATTTCTAATCGTGCAAACTTGCAATATTATGAATAGCCATTCTACAAATCCATTTTACTATGATCTTCCTATAACAGAGGTCACTAATATGACTAGCTGTTTGTAATAAATAAAATGTTGAAAAAAATCACTTCAAAAGGACAGGAATGCTTTGTGAAAAGCAATGGCTACTCAGAGATTTGCAGGATGAGGACCATGTGCATAGTGCTAATGCTGGCACGCTGTTTACTGTGTTCTCTTCTTTTGTGAATGGGGGGGGCGATGACACACAGTACAATTCAGCAGGGAAACCTAGTCATTATCTTCCACGATAACCTCTCCCAGCAGCAGATGATGTACTCACTTTGGCAGCACTAATGACTGTGGCAGTGTAAGACTGAATGTTGTCTCCACAGGCTCCACCACGGGATTGATGGCATCGGATCAGCTACAAGAAGAAAGACGGCAACCAAGTAACTACTATTAAACTACACAAACCCATAACCCATTACCATAGCTCTTATTTATCATGTACAGTGGTGTGTTTTTTCCTCCAAATAGCAAAAAGCCCTGCTGAGACACTTAACCCCTTTTTATAATCTTCTGGGTGCCACCCAGACTGTCGCATACTCAACTCCAGTTTTCAATTACAAGATGAGTAGTCACTAAGAATTCATAAACTTTGAAATGGTGGGATTTTTGGTCTGGCAGCAATACCACAAATAAATTTAAATAAATATAATCAAAAGCTTTAGCCATGTATATGTAATATTAAATATCTGACATTCTAAGAATCTGAGTGTGGCTTTCCCCTCCTTTTTATGACTAGCAAGCAAAGAAATGACAAAGGAAAAGAGCTACTTTAAACTTTACATTTAATAGATTAAAGGAACGTACGTGGGGTTTACTCTATACTGCCTTTCTTCAAAATTAATAAATCAAACCAAGATTATTACACCTGCCATCGAGCTACAAAAGCAGTTTTTGCCTTTGAACCCTAACAATACAATAAAATGACTAAATAAAATGGCAAAAAACTATAGGCATTTGTTGCCTATACACACAACATATTTCCTGTTTAACTGTTTCAACTAAAAGAAAATTAAAAATCACTGTAAGATACATTTGTTTCTACAGGCTTTCCTTTCCTGCTTAAATTTATATTTCTAAATAAAAACAGCTAGCCTAGGGAGAAAGGGAAAGTCCACAGTGAATATACCTGGGAACACACAAGCTATTTAAAATCGTTTTGTGATACAATTCTTCTGCTGATCAGTGGGTTGTATTTTTGGCAACAGTACTTTTTTTATTCCAGGCTGACTGGCTAAGTTTTACAAAACCACGTAGGTGTGGCATTAAAGGAAAGGCAGGCCTAAATTGGGAGAGAAATCAGTTGTGCTTGAAAAGGTGAAATAACAAATACATTTCTAAAGTCTGCCTCTCTGATAATTTCTGGTTCAGCTCTAGGAACAGCTATTCCAGTCACAGGTGGAAGGGAGAAAAAACATCTGCTTTGAAATAAAAATAAGGCATTAGAAGCTGAATTTCGAGTTTTGAAACACTTCAAGCTTTAAATACACAACCACTTCTCTGGCCTAGGGCCGAGTAAGAACAGTGATAATCGTTTTGCTTGGGATCTGTTTTTTAAATGTAAAATGGGTTGATTATTGAGCAACCTCACTGGAAACACATGTTGGTAGCTGTCTTCTCTGCTTACGCTACTTACATATTTATGCCCTCCAAATTCAAGAGCTTAAATCAGCTGTGCCCTATACGACATATAGGAATACCAAAGCACAACTATTGCAGGTCAAAGATTAGGCCTGCCATCGATATGCAACTCCTCTTACAGATCATGTTCTTCACATACCTTTTTTCTGAGACTCTTCCTTTTCTTTTTTCCCCCCCTATGTACACAAAAGCCGGAATGAAATCTAGAAACAGAGAAGTATTGTTTGAAATTAAACCTTTCCTTACCTTATTTTCTGCATAAGCAAGCCACCGGCTTCCAAGAGCAACAGGGTTCATGTTTGGCCCTGGACAAGGATAGCAGCCTGAAAAGTTTTAAAAGGCAACATTAAGAAATATCTTAATGACTTCTTACAAAGAATTTTATTTATTGCCAAGAAAACAAAAAGTCTAAACAAAAACCTTTCAATTGCTAATATCACTCAGTAAATGCTTGCATTTTTGTTCCTAAAGATAAGGCTGTGGTTAGATGAGCTATTTTGAACAGTTAATTATGTGTAAATACTCATTTCTCCTTATGTTTGCATTTTTTTAATGTCGGTTTGATACAGTGGGGTGAAGGGAATATTTAAAAGTTTGACTGGCTTGGTTCTGTATCTTCACATTTTAATTAATTTTACTTGACTGATGTCTTTCTATTGGTCAACAGTTTCAGTTAGCTTCAATCTCTTCTAGACTGCTGTGGTATGAAAGGGTGCATTGTGGTTTTGTTTTTAGTAATTCCATATACAAGCCCTTAGCCTCTCAAAATACTTTTGCACAAACTTAACTTTACAGTGAGTGAATTTGTAATTCCTTTAAAATCAGTAGCAAATTTTCCATTGTTCACCTGCTTTTCATTACCTTTGTATTAACATTAAAAATAGATATATACACATGCATAAAGATGAACATAAAATAGAGAACTATTCCTGAGGAATACAAGGTGAAAACACCTATAATAAAAAGCCACTGAAAATAGCTGTGAACGAAAATATGGCAAGGCTTAAAATGAATTAGGCCCATGTTAAATGCAATTTTATATATAAAGTCTGAGTTAAAAACTAAAAAAGAACAACCAAACAAACAAAACCCACAAAAAACCCACAACACCTCCTCTTCCCCAAAACAACAACCAAGAATATCACAGTGAGCTATTACAATTAAAAAAATACGGACTTTTAAATTATTGAAAACAATTAGATAATGGTTAAACATAAGTGAAAATCTTAAGTACTCTACAATTAAAAGCAGCCTGGTGTCCCTCATCCCAATCGCTACTACTGTCCTGTCTCCCCTCTTTTGTTTTTCGTCATTTTAGATTAAGCTCTTTCGGGTGGACGGCTGCTCTCTCTACATCAACGTGTAACCCGTGCCTGTGTTTAGCACTCAAATCCTACTGGTGTAACTGAACTTTAGTATTGCAGCCCGGACGCTGTCCCCGTCCGTGCTGCGTGGTTCCGGCAGGCTGATTTCAGCGGGATCCTTTGTCAAGGTGAGAGTCTGAAAGTTCAGAGCCTGAAGCCACAAATCTGTTTACTGATTTGGGCCCTGATAGCAAGATTTGAGCTTGGGTGTTCAATTTTAAGCTAGTAAACTAAGGCCTTCAGCCACATGCGTAACACCGTTTACCAGACCTACATCTGTCCTGGTACACTAATTTTTACATGTATATAAATGAAAGAAATATTGCATAAGGGGGAAGGAGAATGGGGGGAAGGAGGGGACTATGAAGCAAATGGTTGATCTCTGTTTTCGTGAGTTCTTAGGCTAATACAGACAATTTAGTAATTTATATTCTCTCACTGGTTGGCCAAGAAACACAACTTTTAAAAACTTATAGACACGTGTGTCCCATTTAAAGGACGCTGGTTAGCTGATCCTGTATCACAGGCAGAAGGCACACTGACATCAGGCAAACAGCATTTTAGAACAACACGTATAACCAACAACTGCAATTTATTGCATAAAATCCTACACTGCATTCTGAGAAGCAACATATTTAAAAAAAAAAAAAAAAGAAAAAGATATAGCTAGCTAAGCTTCTACTTCCCCAAAGTCTCTTGTGTCAGGCTCTTGATGCTGATCTGCCAACTGCAGTGAGAAAAAGCAAACCTATTTGCCACCTTCTTTTTGCAAATATCAGTGTCTTTTCAAACAGGCCCCCAAATTGTCCAGAGCATTTCACGAGGACAACAGACTTTTAAAAATTTAACGGCATTATTTTCAAGGCTTGCAAAATGGTGCAAAAGGTGCGCGGGAGGGTGTTATCTATAGTGCGTAGGTGTAAGCTTGAACTGACATTTGACAACACTTAAAGACACATTTGATGGCATTTTGTTGGGCACAGGCAGAAACAGCTGCTATACTGTTCATGCCACCTAGGATAAACAGCTCCTTACTTCATGTTTTAGAGAAGAGCAGTGAGAGTATTGCAAAATTTGAAAGATCAGAGCAAGCTATTTCAAAGGTCATAAAGCAATGGAAGGAGAAAAGCAGCAATTCATCCAATTAAATCCATCTCGGGCCAGGAAAGCAAAACCAAGTGAATATTTTGTAAGGTCTTATCACTGCCTTGATCTCAGGAAGGAAAATGAATTCTGAAGAGATGATGCCACAATTGTTATTGCATTCCAGAAGTACATAAAATGTGGGTAGCCAGAGCCTCTTAAGGAACAAAGCAAGCAAAAAAAGGTTGTAAATACAACCCTAGGTTGTAAATACAAACGTGTTCTTCCGATGACATTATAGATCAGGACCAGTAAGGTTTTAGTGCTGACTTCTGCTTCGGCAATTCTTACCTGGGTCAGTAAAGACATTCAGGTTCCCCAAACTTTATTTATTTTTCTTTCCTTTTCTGTATAAAATCCATCATTAAAAGCTGTCAGATGATAGCCCTCATCATATACACCTCTTTAGAATCAGTCACTTGCATTTCCCCAACTCTGCAAGCACCTCCTAAGATGCCTGCAGCAGGAGTCAGGAGTATCGGCCAACAGCCGCGCTGTAATGACAAAACCCAAGCAATTCAGCAACTCCTAACGCAGAAGCGTCTTGCTTGGAAAAGGGAGCTGTTCTCAATTACTTCAGTGCGCCGAAGTAAATGAAGAACTGCAAAAAGCATTATTCTTCAAATAAAAAATTAATCAAATACTAAAAAAGTTATCTTAGAAAAAGTGCACCGGTCTTCCCCAGACCCACTGTAGGTAGTTTGTTCATGAACTGGACTCGGACGCAGCCCCACGCACAAATCAGCCAGTTCTAATAATAACCTCCACAGAGGTCAACAATTCAACTCAGTACTAAACTCTACTCTCCGATACGAAAAACAGCATAAAAAAGGAGCTATTTCCTCCCTTTCTTTTCTTTGCAAGTCTCTGCATTTTGGAAACTTGCAGCAGTACAAGGATAAACAAAGGGTTATACTTTATGGGAAGGAAAAGCAAATTGTTTTTCTGCTTTCCAAAAAAACAGCTGGAGTCAGCAGAACATCATCTACTAGGCAAATGAAAAGACAGACACAGCGTGACCTATCAAGCTCGGCCATCCAATCGTTACCAGCCTAACTCTCTTAAAGATTAACTTCTATTTCTACTAAACTTCAAAACAACTGAGGAAAAAATCCATTCTAAGCAACGACAGCAGCAACCTTAGCATGTTTACAATAGGAATGAACATAATGAGAGTGCAGAACTAACTGTCAAGAAGACCAAAGTTTCCAAGTTTTAATGACAGTATGGAGAGGTCATCCAAGAAAAGATCACTCAGGGGAAGTCCTTCCAAAAGTACAGCAAATCAAGCAAGCACTAAAAAACATCTGATCTTGGAATAAACTTTACTGGGACCATCACCCACAAAAATATAGGTGAAAACACACTGGAAACTAGTTTAAATGTTTTTAAGTACACAGTTTCTCTCTTGCTCTGTGCTTAAGAGCAACACACAGAAGAAACATGCTTCTTTAAAGCTGTGAAAAGGCAAAGTAGAAAAATACTATTTTGAAAGTCTGAATTGAATTGCAAGTTTTCCTGCTAACTTTATGAAGTTCCTACACCCAAGGACTCCAGTGGGTGCTGGCCTAAGCAATGCTGACGGATGAGAGATGGGCTCCAGGCTGCCTCCGAGCAGGGAGGTGGCTAACGGCCGAGGGTTTCACCACCGGCACCCTGGTACTTCATACTCTGTGCCTTGATTCTCCCATCTCCAAGATGCAAGTTTTACCTACATCAAAACGGTACCGTAGGCAAACTCTTTAGCATTGCAACTTCTTCAATTCTTCCCACCTTTTTTTTTTTTAGATGAGTTATAAAATTATAATCTGAAATCAGCATATAGTTTGTGATTATTTGGATTCAAAGATGGTTTTAGCTTTCTTGCTGCTGTGCTGACTTTATATATTTGGTTTTACTGAGAATACAGGAATCCTAGAAGTTACTTAAAGTTCTCTAAAGAGCTATACAAATGTTTGCTTAATGAGTGAGCAAAGAGAAGGCATGTTTACTTTACGTTATTTCTCAATTACTTTTATGAAAATCTCTACCACCCTTCAGAGATTCATATCCATATGCCCATAATAAACAAAATCACTTCTGCTCATTCTGAAAACTCACACGAATATGCACTTTTCTGACTCTGGACCTTTCCACTGATCTATGCTCCTACAGAAAACCAAGGCTCCGGTCCTTTTCTTAAATTGTTTTTAAACAGCTCATCCTCTAGCTTCAGTAATGGCAGTGCGAATACACTGACAGCAGCCAAGAGGAGAAAAGCAACACATTCCTCTCCTCTCACTTAGCTTTTAAACAAACAGCATGTTGGGAAAATACTGTTAAGAGAAACAGGACCATTAAAAGTCATGTCAGCTATAACGGAGATTAAACCAATAAATCACAAAACATGCCACTATGAACACTTGAGCCATTTGTATTGGGGCAGCTCTTCATCAAGCTCCACAGCTTTTTCATGAGAAAAAAAGATATACATATATATATATATATATATAAAAACTCAAA